TGTTCTTCTTTTTGCGGATACAGACTAATACGGCTGCTACTCTGAAACCTGTCATTTTGGAGATAAATGTCACTCCAGCACCTTTCAGGAGTTCTAAATTCACTAACTGTAACAGCGCAAATGTATGGAAAAAAAAATAAGAGGAAGAGGCAATGCATATAAAATATGGACAATTATTTCAATAGGCTATAAAATGCCATTTGTATAGGCACTGTAAGTAAAAAAACCCCTAATATTTAGAGTATCAGCTGTGTGACCTCACATGTACTCACATGATTGAGAAACTTGCTGTCTTTGGTGGCCCATCCTATCTGCATCACTCCTGAAGTAATTACTGTGACTTCATAGTACCAAACCCCAGAATCAACGCAGAACGTACATCGAACACTTTCAAAAGAGGAGGCATCACATCGAGCCTGAAAAATCAAAGTGGAAAATATATTAGTTGTAATTAGCTGGCAGTCACAAAGAATTCTGTCTGGTAGATTTGATAAGTGCCTTACAAGTAAAATTGTAAAAGCACTTAAATTTCCAAACACAATGCAACCCCCTTCACAACAGCAAAGGCTGTATACCTGATAGAATCTCAGTAAAACTGAACCAAGTTGAATGTAGGTCAGAGAAGAGCAACAGAAGTGATCAGGGGGCTAGTGGAACGGATTCAAAGATTAAAGGTTAAAAAAAATGACCAAGTGGGGAATGATCTAGAACTATCCGATAGGTATAAACATCAAGGAGGGACAGGAATTTAGTGCTCTAGGAATATCTCACTAGCAGTCATGGAACAAAATTAAGAAAAAGAACATTTTGGCTGAATTTCCTGATGGCGAGAGGTACTTTCTCTAAGGAAATGGAATCCCTGTTGCTTTGGGCTTTTAAGATTAGACAGGACAATAGAAAAAATAATAATAGAACAAACAAACACAAACAAAAATCTACTGTAGGGAACAGTTCTGCACTACATGGGAGAAGGACCAGATGGATCTAAAGAGTGGGTGAAGTTTTACAGTGGTCATTTCTGGTACTAAAAGCAGGTTAGAGACATTACAGTCCACTACCAAAACAGAATTCCTTCACTAGTTTTGTAGAGAGCTCAGAAATACAGACTTGTTGATTCTTTGAAGGGTAAAAAAATGGAAACAAAAAGTGAACTGAAATGGTGATCTCTTGTAGCTTTCTTCAAAACAGAATTCTACATTGAAATAATCAAATGACACCCTACCTCCAGTCCACGTGGTGAGATCTTAAGGTATTCGCTGACATCGTTACTATTCAGCATGGCCTTAATATTGGTCAAGTCAACTTTCTCATATGTAAACTGTCTGCCTTCTTTCAAAACTGCAGAAAAAAATTAAATAAAGTGCTATTGCAGGAACAAGTCAACGAGATTATTTCAATAAATACAAATACACACACACACACACAGGATCCAATTCAGACTTGGCATACTTTAAAGCAACACAGGCATTATGCAAACTTGAATGCAATATTATTTCTTTACAGTGGCACCCAATGTTTGTTAGAACTATATCCAGAAGCACGGCATGTCCTGCTCTGAGTCCACCTCTACCTCGATAGAACGCTGTCCTTGGGAGCCAAAAAATCTTACCGCGTTATAGGTGAAACCGTGTTATATTGAACTTGCTTTGATCCGCCAAAGTGTGCAGACACCCCCCCCCCCCCCCCCCGGACGCACTGCTTTACCGCATTATATCCGAATTCTGTGTTATATCGGATCACTTTATATCGAGGTAGCAGTGTATTTGAAAAGCACCTAAGGGCTAATTGTGCCTCTCAAGGAACTATGGGTAAGCATTAAGGGCATCAGAATACATACCAAGCTGCGATTCCTTCAGGACACACAAGACACCACCCTGACGGTTAACATGGGTGGAATTTTACTGTGGGAGGAATGGTGCCAGAGCAATAGTGAAAACTCTAAACTTGCTGCTGTCAGCTATTAGGCTAGGTTTTTATGCAGCTGACCTGAGCCAATTAAGGCTGTCTTCCCCCTCCACTTTCAGGCCTTTTCCAACCACTTCTGTGACTGCTAGACCCTCACACAGTGCTCCCACACTGGCTGATCAAATGCTTGAGTTTCATGGCAAGCAAAATATTTCAAGTAAAAGCAAGCAGCCCCTGGTGGCACCTTTGTAACAGCTAATGATCAGTGGAGAGAAGAGAAGCCCAGCTGTGGGATTCCCTAGCATGCTGTTCAACATGGTCTCCTCATATTTGCTTTAACTCAGGGTGGCATTTGCTCCAGCCCTGAGCTATTATAAGTTATACCGTACAATGGGTTTTGTTAGAAATTCCACCCTGGAAAGCACCCACAATCAGGGCAGGGAAGACTCAGGATGCTGGGACTCCACAGAACCAGGAGGCAAGTTGCAGGATAACTGTTGTGCTATGCCATGGAAACTGCTCTGTACCTTTCCCTCCAAATCATTCTCTTTCACACTGGGGAGGAATGGAGAAGCATTTAGCTCAGGGGTTCTCAAACTGGGGGTCAGGACCCCTCAGGGGGTCACAAGGTTATTACATGGGGGGTTGTGAGCTCTCAGCCTCCAAACCCCACTTTGCCGCCAGCATTTATAATGGTGTGAAATATCTAAAAAAAAGTGTTCTTAATTTATAGGGGGGTGCGGTCGCTCTCAGGGGCTTGCTATGTGAAAGGGGTCACCAGTACAAAAGTTTGAGAACTACTGATTTAGCTCGACAGTCTGTAGTCCACGAAAGCTTATGCTCAAATAAATTTGTTAGTCTCTAAGGTGCCACAAGTACTCCTGTTCTTTTTGCGGATCCAGACTAACAGGGCTGCTACTCTGAAACCAACAACCCTGTAATTCATCAGACAGAAGTCTTTTTCAGGGAGTGAAATGTACATCACAGACTCATTACTATATATTTATTGCCATTTGTAACAAAGCACAAGTAGATGCTCGGTTTCAGCATAAGCAAGACAAACTGCTGCCTGGGGCCAACCAAGTAATTTCATTGTCTCTTCTCCCAGTGGTAGTGAACAAGAGGGGTATGCCTTAAACAAGGCTGGCAGCAGTGTGGGGTCCTTCAGCGAGTCAAAGCTTTGGGCCCACTAGTTATGCTTGGATTGGTTTGTTAAATAAACGACAGTTTACCAAAGAGCTACTCTTTCTTGGTTTCTTAAATCATGAGAATCTAGTCTGTTTAATAAATCACAGGTCATAATCCGTCCTTGTGCAGATGTGGTATTGGTATATCCAAGAATATCACAATGGTTTTCTTTGGGACAAAGTCAGAATACAAGTGCCATCTAGCTATTTTGAGCTTCTTTGCTGAAGCGTCACAGCAGTTACAGAGCAAATAAAGTTGAAGAACTTTAATTTTTTAATAATTACATAAGGTTTGCTTTTCAAAAATTCAGGCATGCAAATGCACATGGATTTATGCACCTTATTTCTGTGTGGACACTGGATATCTGCACATACAAATATGACCAGACATACAAAACTATCAGTAAATACTTACACAAAACATGGTATCTGTGCACCACACACACACACACACACTCTCTCTCTCTCTCTCTCTCTCAAAAGAGAGCCATCCTGCAAAGAAGCCGTAGTGTGAGAATCCTGCTCACACTATACTTACATAGATTGTCTAAACTCCACTGGGCACAGAATCCCACTTGGCGTTTTAAATAGTCTGGATTATCTGTCCATTTCTCTAACAAAACAAGCTGGTCACTAATACAGGATTCAGAAATTGTCATTTTATTTTCACCTGTAATTTAAAAGTGAAAAAAGTAATAGATGTAAACAAGGAACAGTGATTTAAAAGACAAAGGGTAAATATTTTACAAGTACAATATAGAAATATTCTAAATCTCAGTATTAAACAAAAAATATAAGAGTTCATGTCCCTTCTCCTGAGAGATTAACAGGAAGAAATGCAATATTAAATATTCAGCATTTTACTGTACTAAATCATCTGAGAGCAGGGCTACTAGCTAGGAAAATAATAATTATAGTCTATTAACAAGACACATTTTTTTCCAGCCATGGAGAGGCCTTCAAAGGGCTCCTATGCCTCTTCCCATCCCCAAAGCTAGAAGTGGGCTGTAGTCCACGAAAGCTTATGCTCTAATAAATTTGTTAGTCTCTAAGGTGCCACAAGTCCTCCTGTTCTTTTTATTTGATGGATAGCAGACCCTACGTGGCAATAATCGGAATTATATCTGAGGACAGCACACAGTACAGTGACGGAATTGTGTTCCGCCCATTCTCTTTCCAAGGAGGGTGGGGTGACTAGAGCAGCAGGAGTCTCCTCCTGCCAGCACACTTTTCCCTACAGCAATCCCATTCTCTGTCAGCCCAGGTATCACTGATCCTTACCATGCACTAGGCTTAAGCTACAAGCTGGGAACATCAACATGCTTATTTCCAGTGCATGCACCGGGGACAGCAGATGTGATCAGATGAAGGAAATAACCATTCTGGGGCAACATTAGCTCTATTGTTTTTACCGTAAGAAGTACTAGGCTAATACTTACTTGTTTGTGCAAACTTTTCCAGTGCTATTAGTGCAAAAAGCATTACCGTCGGATGGGACTGGAAATTCTAAAGACAACGAGAGTATTAAACACGTGCCATAGCTGTGCAAGATCTTTTTGTAGATTTGTCTAATATAATGAAAACATTTTCTTAAAACTAGCAGTCAGATTACATTTTCAAGACTCTTCACAAGAGAAAGGCAGAGATGTTATGAGTAAGGCTACGTTTCAGTCATGCCTGGGGCTGCCAGAGCAGCGGCTGGCCCTGGGGCTTTCCCAGCTGCTGGGGTGGTCCTGGGGGCAGCCACACCAGTGCTGTAAAATTCATGGAAGCTGTGACTTTCATGACCTTGGTGAATGATCTGCAGCCTTAATCATGAGCAACAGGCACAGTAATAGGGGGGAAGTGGGCCATACTAGAAGTACTCACAGGACCTATTTTTCATGTCACAACAGTTTTAAACCAGTGTAGTCTATCTACAGTAGAACCTCAGAGTTACTAACACCAGAGTTACAAACTGATCAGTCAATCACATACCTCATTTGGAACCAGAAGTACACAACAGGCAGCGGAAGGGGAAAAAAAGCAAATACAGTACACTACTGTGTTAAACAAACTACTAAAAAAATAAATAATGGCAAAGCAGCATTTTTCTTCAGCATAATAAAGTTTCAAAGCTGTATTAAGTCACTGTTCAGTTGTAAATTTTTGAAAGAACCACCATAATGTTTTGTTCAAAGTTAGGAACAACCTCCATTCCCAAGGTGTTTGTAACTTTGAGGTTCCACTGTACTTCAGTGGAGTTGCTCCTGATTTACCCTGATGTGACACTAGCTCTCATTGAGGGCCACTGAATTAAAAAATAATAATAAAGTTTCTAGCCCCAAATGCTAAGAGTATTTTTTTCAGAAAAACTCATTTTTCTGAATTAAACCTTCAAGATGCCCCATTCTAGTAACCTCAAATTTTGCGAGTTTTTTCCCTTTTAATAGAATTCATGCAAAAGAAATTTCAGATGAAAAGTAGCTATTTGAAATAATTAAAGTGTAGGCTTAACAAAAAGGAAGGCTAGCCTTCAATATGCTCCATAATATAAACAAAGTTTTGATCCATACATTATATTATATATTTGACATATAATTTTAAATTTAAATTTAAATAATCCATACATTATATTATATATTTGACATATAATTTTAAATTTAAATTTAAATAATGCTTTCGCTCTTGGGGAAAAAATGGCTATTGAGTTTATTAACCTCCGTGAAGATTTTCACTATATATAATCTATGACCCTGATTCTGTTCAATGTACCATTCTCTTTCCACCAGGGGTTCTCAAACTTCATTGCACTGTGACTCCCTTCTGACAACGAAGTTACTACATGACCCCGGGGAAAGGAAGCCCAAGCCCTGCTGCCTCGAGTAGGGATAGAGGGGGCCTGGAGCTCAGGCTTCAACTTCAGTCCCGGGTCCCAGCAAATCTAATGATGGCCCTGACGTCCCCATTAAAATGGAGTCATGACCCACTTTGGGATCCCAACCTACAGTTTGAGAACCGCTGCTTGACACTGTTCAGTGCTTTAGCCCTCTTGTGTCAGGAGTTCTCTCTGTGGAAGGCTTGCATAAGATCCTAAGTTAATCATGTGCTGGAAGCCTCTCCTATATTGGGCATTCACAACAATTCTAAAGCTCTGTTCTTCTAAACTATTTGAAGGTTAGTTTTGCTTTAAGGGGCTTAAACTACCCAACGCCAGTAAATTCAAAGGTCAGGATTAAAATGCTTTTCTTTTAACCCACTGCACTGGTAATGCAATCCGGTGGTATGTTAGATTGCTTTCTGTACCTCTATCTGATGGAATGGTGAGGGACAGACTTTCAATCTTAAACTCACATTTTCTGGAGTTGTTTGGCCAGGCCCTTGATGTTATGTTAATGTTGCTTTTGGATTTAATATAAACGTGATCTGTTCATTTCTGGGTACCAAGTCCAAAATCCCTAGGATTGCTCCTAGCACACAATATTCCTCCTCTACTCCAGAGACACCCATCCTTAGTCATAGTGTTCTGCAACCATGATCACCAGTTACCGATCTGAACTGGCAGGAAGGTACATAAACCAGACTATAAGCCTTCTATCTGAACCTAGGGTTCTTTAGCTTGATTATGGGTTATTGTGAATGTGTCTATCTGAAACGCAGATAATTTTAGCAGTACAGTACTTTTGGTGAACTGTTTGCAGAAGTAAGAGCACAACAGAAATTTTAGAAGGAATAAGGGTCACTGCAAGATATCACAGGGCATTAAAAGTACAAACTAATGTTCAACTACATCCCTGACCTTTGAATTCACAAGACAGCGACTTCTTAGTTCAAATCCGTTCTTCACTTTGACCAAAGTGAACGGATTAACTTGTTGTCTAGGAATACAATTGTGTATACCGCAACTTCCATAGCACATTAGTAGCAATGTCAGGGTCTGAACGGCACTAAGAATTTTGGAGCAGGGATTCATTTTCTCTAGGTTCTGTATAGTGCCAGGCACACACTCTGTGCTTCACAAATTAAATAAAACAAAATACTTGCGGTCTTTATTTTCATAGATAGTCCTTCCTTTCTTTTTCATTCTCTCATTAAGTCTTTTTGACCCCTTCCTTATTAAATGGAATCTTTCTATAGTCTGATGTTAGACTTTCCTAAAGTGTTCAAAGTTAGTAAGTCTGTCCTTTATTTTGATTATTTTTAATTTGTACGATTTGGTTTTGTATGTTGCGCTCGTGATTGATTTCAGTGAAAAATGCTGTATGTAGAGACAAAGATAGATAAGATCCCACAATTACAAAAACTGATCTTACTGCGCTCTGCTACGAGCAGTTTCATACAAAAAAGAAAAAAAATTAACAGCAACATTTGCTGAAAAACAAGAACATTTCCCACTTATGCATACAGAAGCAATTAAGACACGAGAGCAGCCGAGAACGCTACTGTGCTTGGATACTTACCAAGCTCTGCAGTAAATATTCCAGTATTCCTGGGCTGAGTAAGCCTATACTTGCAGGACCTGCAAGAACACTAACAATGAAATGCATGTATGGGAGCTGCCGCATTATCTTTCCACATCAATTAAAGTTTACCAAGAGGGGCATTTTGACCCTGAAAAGGACCTTGCATTTACAAAAAGAAATTAAAGTAGTACCCAGGGCTATGTTTTTGCACACAAGTAAAAAATGTACACTCTACTGTATGCTTAATTTATGCATGCAGTTACTATGAATGTGCTCAGAAATCAGGAATCTGAATGCAGTGTCCTGGATCTACCTTCCCTTTCTAGGCACAAATACTCATGTGCATGTGCCACAGCTGTACCTGTGTAGTTGTAATTATCTTCAGTATTACTATAAAGACACCTGTCACCTTGATATCTGAGAACACTTGTGCCTACATATTTTTGAAAACAGTCCCCAATGTATATTTATGTAAAGCAGGTAGTTTCTCAGACATTTTGTATTAATAAATCAAGGTTAAAAAGATCAGCTCCCTCAATCACTGGCACAAAATGAGTAATGCCCACAGGATCAAGTACTGCCAGCTTGATGCCTAGTCACCCAATCTGCGATTGGCATTGTGGCAACCGACCAATTAAAAATGCCCAGGAACGCTATCTGCTTAAGGTAGTGTAGTAGAAGGAAGGGCATTCTGCTTCATAAAATCCATGAACTGTGACAAATTGGTACACACACAAAAGCACTATTATAAAACAGCATTGACCCCATCACTGCCTGGATTTCTAGAGAAGCATCTGCTCTCACCTAACCAAATGGAAACGGTCAACTAACATAGGGTCTTATTTTGACCTATGGTATCGAGAGGGTGGCAAGGAGGAGGAATTGTCGTTATTTCAAATATCTACATCAAAAGTCACTATTCGCGTAGGACCTACACAAAAATGTTTTATGCTCTTTAGTGCGGTCTCTGAAGCAATAATTAAATGCTATTTTTAAAACTGTGCTCATATCAACAGTGGGGCACAAACTAGGAATTTTAAAAAGACAGGTTAATTTCAAGCACCCCTAGAAAGAAAAAATTATAGTTGCCAAATGGGGCAACAATCAGAAGGGAATGGAAACGTCACTTTCAGCTTCAGGCAGGGCATTATAAATAAGTGGAGAATAAAGAGACCCATAAAAACAAAAGTCACTTTTAAAAAAGTAAATTCTCAGTGTCCTTTTAAATAAATAATGTAGCTAAAGAGCATTTGCTTCGGGTAACTACAACAGAACAACATTTGTCTGTGGAATGACAGCGGAAAGAACATCCATCATCCTTCCATGCATTCTCTTTAATAAGAATAATTGGTCCTTTATCATCTTGCCTACTGGCTAATGTGTTCCCAGAAATTCTCTCATCCACCCAGGTTAGGCCTGTAAAAACGTTAGCATTGGTAATTGCATCATCAAGGCTGTGTGTCAGGAAATCTTACTTTGCAAATACTTGAAATATATACACGTGTGGATTGAGGTTTTATTTGATAAATCAAATATTTAGGGAGTTCAGTGTAGTAAAATCCAAGTTCAGAGCCAAGCTGTTTGCTGGTTACTGAAATTAAGCCTTATCAATATGGAGATTTGGTCCGAGCTGGGAGACAAGATCTCTCCTTGTTCCAAAACGTGACATCAGTTCTACAAAGTCATCTCTGAACGTTGCTATGCTGGGACACTACAGAAAACCCAAAGTTAAGCTTTCAGACTGCTCCTTCTGCTTACCTGCTAGTTTCTCAGCCAAACAGCCCAGTACTGCAGTTGTGTTACGATGTTTGGCAGGGTGACAGGAATCCTGGCAGGCAACCGCTCCATTTAAATTTAATATTTCAGTTAATTTCTGCAATGCATCCTAAAACAAAGACAGAATGCTATTTAACACTATAGGAATTACGGAACACATTGTTTTCCACTCAGTCATTCAATACAACTCAATGACTCTGCTTCAATATCAATGCTGACAGGATAATATTATAGATGCCAAGTGATAGTTTCTGTTTTAAAGCAGACCAGAAGTGAAATTTATCTTAAAGAGTTACATTAATTCATTGGTTACTGCCAAATGAGCCACAGTATGTCCGAATGCTCAAAAGTGATGTGCTGCCAACTGTATGAGAAATATTAACGTTTCCTTAACTTCAATGGATCAGTAAGATAGATGGCAGAAAATAGGGAGGACTGCCACCAAAGTGGTTTAATCTGTTCCAAATATCCTGATGCTATTTAAAAAAAAGTTGATTGTGTTGTACAATTGAAAATACAGTAAAAAAATGATTTGAGCATAACAAAAATGGAGATAGCATAATTTTGTAAAGTGGACTCAGGGGCTGTTTCTGACTCTAAAACCACACCATCTCTCTCTCTCTCTCTCTCATGGCATATCCTGCTTATACTCACTGTGCTAGTCTTTTAAACAAGAATGAAAGACTAGCAGAAACCTATGTTGAGCCTTCGTTTCCTCTGGCTATTAATATAGGATTAAATTCGGAGTAAATCTAGAGTAACCCCCACCAATTTCAATGGAGTTACACCAGTGTAATTCCAAATTCAGTACAAAAATTGTTCCACAAATGGATCCAAACTGCAACTCCAGATTCATCTCAACTCCTCTATCCCCGTGCTTTTAGGAAAGTTTCTGTTGAGCCAATTCAGACCCCAGCTTCACAACTAAGCCCAACATTTAATTAAAACAAAAACAACTCTCCACACTGAAGTTATCAGCAGGGCATTTGGACAAGATTAGTGTAACAGTTTATAAAGTTTGATGTTTATAGGCTTTTTGGGTCAGATTCTGATCCAGATTTAAACCAGTTCAACATGCAAAAAATCTGATCTTTGATGGAAGTTACAGGGAAATGTAATTGTGTTCCCAAAAGAACAGCTGCAAACAGAACTAATACATAGGGCTGACAACACGCAAAGAGCATAGAAAAGAAAGAAAGAATAACCAGCAATGATTGAGGAAGGGACTTGAGATGAAAAAGTACAACTAAACTTAGAATAAGGATGACATTCTCAGACATGGCCTTTAGTCCATCTTAGTGAAACTACAGTAGAACCTCAAAGTTACAAACTGACCGGTCAACCACAGAGCTCATTTGGGACCAGAAGTGCGCAATCAGGCCGCAGCAGAGACAAAAAAAAGTGCAAATACAGTAAAGTACTGTGTTAAATGTAAACTACTAAAAAAATAAAGGGAAAGTTTAAAAAAAAGAAGAT